TATGGCCTGGAATAAAGTCTCAAAATTAGTGTGATATCACATATAATATGATCGGCAAATGATCGGCAAGGTGATATAAGCATGTTCGCTATGCTTAGTAGATGTAGTTTCAACAGCCAGCATTTCCATATATTCTGTTTTAATATATAGTGGAACATCTTTACAATACAATGCTAAATGTGGCTTCAAAATTTCTGGTTTTCCTTTAGACCAGTTTTGATTACAGTAATGACATCTAGCTATGTAATGCTCACTACCCAATGGTTCTTTAAAATAATGATCCCAGACATGTGATTTTTTACGACCCCTTCTAACTTCTCTAATATTTTGATTATCAAATAAATCTGTTGAATCCATTTTTACAGTCACAAAGATTATGTAAAAGCAAAAATGTAATACACAATTTGTAAGATTATTTAAATTAAAAAAAAGATTATCAAAATTGTGATTCATGTTACACATCAACTGATTAAAAGTTTATGTAACACAAAATATTTTTTATTTCGTAATAATAAAAAATTTCAAAAATTTCTAAGTTGTTTGATTTGTTTCAATTTTATTTATTAATGGTTTAGACATTTGTCCAAACTAGTTCAATTCCAACAGGTAACTAGATAATGTTCCTAAAGAATAAAGAAATGAAAGTTAATAATATTTCTTAAAAGTAAATGCAAGAAACTTTCCTCTGCTTACCATAGATTCGTCAATGGTTGAACCATTCCCTACCTACAAAGTTCTTCGTGTATCTTATTTAGTTTTTTGTATTTTATACAAATTAACATCTTAATAAAAATAAAAACAAAAACATTTTATATACATTCTATTGTTGGATTACTTTTATTAGACGTGTTTTTTGCATACATTATTATATAAAAATAAGAACATTTTTATATATGTACTATTGTTGGGTTACTTTTTATTAGACATGTTTTTTTTGCATACATTATTATATAAATGTTAAGAAAAATCCTCTTTACTTAACCATGAAGTCGTCTAAGAAGTCCACAAAAATTGTTCTGAAAAAAAGAAATAAATTTAGTTGTTGTTTTTGACAGTAAATATCAAAAACAACCTCTTTCCACTTACCAGAAAATCCAAGAAATCCTGCAAGAACTGCTTCTAAAAAAGAAAAAAGAAAGCGAAGTTAATGTTATTTCCTAAAGTAAATGTCAAAAAAAAAAAATCCTTTACTATTTACTAGGAGGTACAATAAGTCCACAAGAACTGTTCCTAAATACAAAGAAAAAGAAATGAAGTTAGTTAATATCATTTGTTAAAAGTAAATAAAAAAAAACCTTTACCTACANTAAGTCCACAAGAACTGTTCCTAAATACAAAGAAAAAGAAATGAAGTTAGTTAATATCATTTGTTAAAAGTAAATAAAAAAAAACCTTTACCTACAGGAAGTCTGGGAAATATGAGAAAATACTTCTAAAAATAAAATAAAAGAAGTTAATAATATTTCAGAAAGAACTGTTTCTAAAAAAAAAGGTGCATTGTAAACATTTTTTTTTAAAAAAAAATATTTACGGCTATTTGTGGCATTACAACGCTAGATTAAAATATGGCATTACAGCATCAAATTAAATTACAGAATTATGGCATTTATGATTTATAGCATTTTATTATGGTTACGGCATGATTAATAACATATGTTGTAACTCCAAAATGTCATAATTAGGGAATTCTGATGACATCTATAAGACAGCCATATTAAAAAGAGCAAAAATCTGATTTTATTTATTTGACCTGTGTATATCTGTAGAAAATACGTTATAAATGTATAAATTTTAATATACTGTAGAATAATACGTATACCGTATCCTTTATTTACAATATTTTTGTGAACCGTATACAAAATACTGATATACAGTAGAAATGGTATATGTTATAAACGTATGAATTTAATATACTGTATTACACAATATGTTTACCATATACTTTATTATATTTTTTACTAAACACATATTGCGAACAGTATACATTATACTGATATGCCATATGTAAAAATGTGAACTGTATCAAAAATATGTATATACAATATAAAAACTATATACATATTTTTTATAGGGTGATAATACAACATATATGTCAGCAGAAAAAGAAGGCGCAATAATATGCTTCAATACAATAGCAGCTGCAGATTTTTTTCATATTCCTTATAGATTACATGTTGTTCAAATCATATTAATGAACTTTAAAAATATAGCATTTGGAAAACTTGACTCACTATCAGGATTATTATTAAAAGAACATCCATATAATTTAATAAATCTGGCTTTCTATCTTCATGATGGATATAATGAAAGTGATAAAGATAATTCTTTAAATATAAAAACAGATGTAATATATCAACTTTATAAAAAACTTTTAAATTATAATCTAACAAAATATTAAAAACCAATTAGGATGAGATGGTTATATAAATTACGAACAGCAAAACAATATTTTGAACAATATGCAATCTACCTTCAATTTACTTAATGGTTTGTCTAAAAATTAAGCATTATTAAAAAAGTGCCACAAAGATATATTGAAAAATTAAAAATATTCTATTCATAATTAAATAATATTAAGCTTAATCTTCAATTATGTTGTCTTGTTAAATTTGGAGAAAAGTTTTTTGAACCTATTTATGAATTTCTTACCAGTTATAATCTTATACCATAAGTTTATAATTTACATCAGGAAATTTGTTTAAACATAATTTAGTGTAATATTTCAGAGGTGGTATAAAATTTCAAAATATTACACTAAAAATATAATATTACAAAAATTTACACTCTTAAATTTGAATAATTATAGTAATTTAAGAATATCTTGCTATCTACTGATCCAATCAGAATGAATAACTCATTGGAATCAGCTCATCAAGACGAATCGAATGGTAGTAAAATCGTATCTTTATATTCGATAGATGACTTTCTATTAATTTAAAACTTAATTGCATACTATAAAGTGTTCTATCAACTGTAGACATGTGATTTTACTACCATTCGATTCGTCTTGATTAAGGTTGCTTGCTGAAACCTAGGGGTTTAGGCAAGATGGCATTTTGCCGAAAAGCGAAATTCTGCCGAAACTATATTAAAGTTATATTAAAAAACTGGCGAAACTTTGGAGAAAAGCGAAACTGCTGAAACTTATTATAAATGCTGGAACTGCCAAAACTCTGCCGAAACTATAATAAATCTATAGTAAAATTTTGACGAAACTAATCGTAGAATTTTGAAGAGGTTTAGACAAGCAACCTTAGTCTTGATAAGCTGATTTCAATGAGCTATAGATAATCCTGATTGGATCAGTAGATAGCGAGATTAAAGCTCCAAACAGTTCAGGCTAAACTGAGGAACTGATCTGAAATTGGCTCAAAATTCAGTTCGATTCGGTTTAGGTATTAGAACCGAAAAACTGGCAGTTCAGTTCAGTTTAATCTGATTTTTATAAAAATGTGAAAAATCAAATAGCCATCCATCTAGTGATCATATAAAGTCGAGCTATATATCATTGGATTTGTCTCGATAAGATGCGTCGAATGGTGGTAAGATCATGTCTTTAGCATCAATAAATCACAAGTTAATCCATGCTAAATGATTTATCAATAATTTGAATTAGCAAGCTATCTATCAGTGCTAGAGACTTGATCTTAGTACCATTCGACGCGTCTCAGTGAAATGAATCCAATGAATATAAATTCATCTGTATATGACCACTGGATGACGAATAATATCAAGTTTCGCATTTTTTTAAAATTTTTGAGTATTAAAAATTAAAAATTCTGATACATGAATTTATTCGTCGTCCAATGGTCGTATAAATATGAATTCTGACTTATTAGATTCACCTCAACGAAACAAGTCAAATGGTGGTAAGATCATGTCTCTAGCATTAATAGATTGTAAGTTAATTCATATTAAATGATTTATAAAAAATTGGCATTAGCAAGTTATCTATTGATGCTAGAGATGTGATCTTACTACCATTCGACTCATTTCATTGAGACGAATCTAATGAGTCTTAATTTATATTTATACGACTATCGGATAACGAATAAATTTATATATCAGAATTTTTAATTTTTAACGCTTGAAAATTTTAAAAAAATGCAAAACTTGACATTATTCGCATCCAGTAGTCGTACACAGACAAATTTATATTCATTGGATTCGTCTTACTGAAATGCGTCGAATGGTGCTAAGATCAAGTCTCCAGCACTGATAGATAACTTGCTGATTCAAATTATTGATAAATTATTTAACGTGAGTTAACTTGTGATTTATTGATGCTAAAAACATGATCTTACCACCATTCGATGTATCTCATCAAGACTAATATAATGATATATGGCTCGACTTTGTACAATCACTAGATGGACGGCTATTCAATTTTTCGCATTTTTATAAAAATCAGATTAAACTGAACTGAATTGCCAGTTTTTTGGTTTAGTTTTTACGGATTTTAGCTCTAATCTGAACCATCTATAATCTGGACCAAACTGACCCATTCGGGGCTTTAAGCGAGATATTCTTAAATTACTATAATTATTCAAATTTAAAAGCATAAACTTTTGTAATATTATGTTTTTAGTATAATATTTTAAAATTTTACACTACCTTTGAAATATTACACTAAATTATGTCTAAACAAATTTTCTGATGTAGATGGTAAAATAGTAACTTTTCCACCTAGTAATCACGTCTACGAAATATCTGATAAAGTAATGGTATGGATAGATAAACTCCAAAATGCTGCAGAAACTATATCTGAAATATTTTAAGAAGAATTAGCTGAAAGTGTACTTTTAAGTTCTAAAGATATAAATGAATTGTATGAAGCTCTTCAAATAGGAGTTAACCAAGCTTTAAATGGATTTCTCAAATGGATATTACCATGGATATATTTACCTTTGAGTGTTTGTCAATTAGAAGGCAATTATGATCAAGCATTTGCTTATGCTTTTTTACATATTTTTTTTCAAAATAGCATTCCAATACTTCACAGCGTAAAAGTTCTTATATTGAATTTTTGAAGGAAGATTTACAAAATGAAACTATTAATACTTTTGGGTTAATGGAAGCACTTCAAGAACCAAATTTTTTGAAAGAATTTGAGAAGTTTTCCAATTCAGATTCCAATGAATACTGGAAATTTTCTATGGTATATACCTTTATTAAGTATCAGGTTTAGCCAATTGCTATTCACTAGCAGTAATTAGAGGGTAGATATAACATAAAAGTGCACATGAATATGAGCAAAGAATTACAAGAATCAAGAATCATTCTTTTAGGTTCTGGTAATGAAAGTGTAGAGATTACACAAAAAGTCCGCCAATAATTTAAAAAAAAGAAAAAGTTGGAAATGAAAATGAAAGATCGATGTCAAAAGAGGAGATGGCGAATGCTATTTTAAGTTTTTTTTTATCTCGTTAAACATGAAATTTTACTATTTTTGAATATTTATAGCGTTGTTCATTGTTTTGTAAATCAATGAACATTCAAATTTATAAATTAATAATATAATAAAGGGTTTTGTTTTTTATCGCACCCGCGATATGTCGCAAGGGCATGCGCCTCCTAATTTTATTGGCGAAAAATTTTTTTGTGGCGCGTCAAATTTCAATTGTAACACGATCTTAAAAAATTTTTTTTTAAAAAATTCTTCAATCTGTTTTGGTTTCTTTGTCCCTACCCTTTAATAAAAACAAACCTTTACATTTCTTTTCTAATTACGTTTTCATTAAAAACATTGTTTATCATGTTTATATTCGATGGTTGGTTTCTTTTTTCTTCTTTTTTGTCTTGTTTTGAAAACTACACTAAAGGTTTTTTTTTCTTTTTTCAGGTCCTTTGCGTTGTGGATTTTGACGTTAATATCATTTGAAAAGAGACTTTTCGTTCTTTAAAGACTCGGTAGGTGAAGTTTAATACACCGTGTTTAATAACCTTAAAAACACTATTAACGATTT